TAGGCGGTTGTGGGTTTTTTTTTTTTTTTGTGTGTGTGTGGATTAGGTGCTAGATATTTGTGGAGGTTCACATTGACATTTCTTTTTCTGATCTGTTTTCTCAGGTGATTCTAGCTTTTCCTCCTTAAAAGGTCATGTTGCTTATAAAAGACCGGGAACTCAGTTACCTTAGGAGATTACATGAAGTTTCTAAAAGGTTAACATACCTTTGTCATATTGGCATGGATGGCAGTCAAGATACCTAAATTAGCCTTTGCACTTGTTTGCTAGAAGGGTTTATTTCTCATTTTTGATAAATCAGTCAATTCTTAATGAGTTCCAATCTTAAACAAACAAACAGCTGGTTAGCGTTTATCGTTTATCAACATCCTTCAGCATGGGTTTTCCCTTCAGGTTCTCCCCTGAAACTGCCTCCAAAAGAGGGCTTAGTACAGCAGAAATTAATGCTGTGGAAGCAATTCACAGAGCTGTGGAATTTAACCCTCATGTTCCAAAGGTAAGAGTATTTTATTTTCTGTTGGATTACTTTATTTTCTTCTGAGAGAAGTCATCTTATGTTATTGTCTTGTTGTTTGAGTGTTTCTAGCCCTGTGTTTTCTTGAAGTTGGTTATTACTCCAGCGCCGGAGTTGTTTGTATCAAAAATGTTTGGCCACAATTAGTCGTTCATAATACGTGGTGTTCAATAGTCTTGTTACAAAAATGTTTAAATGCAAGTTAAGATTTTCTAAGCTGCTGGAAAATCTGGTAATTTATTGCTGAAGGCCCTTTGTTGGGTAAGCTAAGTATTAATAAATATAAACTTAGGTCTTTCAAATCCCTGAAGCCAAATTAAATCCAGACAATAACTACTCATAATATTTCGAAGTACTTCTTTTTTATTATATTTAAAGCATGCTCCCAGAACTCTGGTTATTGAAAGATCTACAGTCACTTATTTTCTTCATCCCTATGTAAACAAGATCATGAATCTGTACTGTTACATGCTGTAACTTAATGTCTGGTATTACCTGAAGGAGCCAAGGTAATAGATTCCACTCAGCATTGTGTGAAAATAAAATCTTTTCTTGCTTCTTACTGTGCTAGTATTGGTGATGCATTCAGTTTGAAGTCTTGAATGTCAAAAGTTGGCTTAGTTCTGGAGCTAATCCTCTAAAAATAATCATGGAGTCCGAATGACTATCGCTGTGAAGGCTTGAATTATCCAACCACTCTATTCTGTCTGCCTGTCCAATCTAATAGAATGTGCACTGAGAAAGCTAATTGCTGGGAGAAATTGCTGCTTGTTTGCATGACTGATCAAGAGCGTAGCAAGTTCATTTCAGACAGTCTCAGACAGATTTTTCTTTTACCCTCTGCCTTTAGGGGAAGAAGATTATAACGCATTATCATTATCTAAAAGTTCTTTTATTTTATATATCCTTCAGTTGTTTCAGGAGCCTCACATACCTTTTTAAAGGAGTTAGATACCGTTTCAGGCAGTCTGCTTGCAAAATATGTTTGGTAGTTTTACAGACAATCAGGAAAGTGATTCTAAGTTTCAATAATCTGATCTTCTTTTCTAGTTGTATACATATCCAGATTTCTTTTCCAGTTTTTTTTTTTTAATTACAATAGCTCCAGTTGATAAAACTGCCAGGCAGAATTTTACTGTTGCTGGTTACCTAAAATATGGTCTGTAAAACGTTCATAGTCAAAATAAACAACAAAAAAGAGGAGAGGAAGGGCACAAACAAGTGAAGTAACTTGCCCAATATGTTATAGTGGACTAGTGAGGAAGAAAATCTAGTTTCTAAATTTGCAGTCTATCCTCTCCTCTGGATTAAAAATGAATGAATGTGAAGTATAAATCCCTTTGTTCTTGTGTCTAATGAAAGTAATTGTCTCTGCAGATAACATCATTTTGCGTAAAGAAAATAAAAATAGTGTTTATTTCTTTCTTCCTCCCAAGTTATGCTTTTACAAGGATGGCTTTTGTTTGAAAAGTTTGGAAAGTATTTTATGGTGCTACAAAATGATACTTTTAAGCCATTTCAAATGGGAGATCTGTAGTTACATTTTGATAATGTGCGAATCATTCTTTTCCAGTTATCTTCTGAGTATCTTACAAATTTTAATTGGGTAAAAAGACTTTCTTAAATCTGGAAAAAAAAATTTTAATTCGTGCTAATACCTTGTCCATTTTATGATTATAAAAAGGACATTAAAATCTTGCAGATCCTGGAATTTTTGCTGTTCGTGTGGTAACACATGGGTGCAGAGACAGCCAAAGTACAGAGTTTAATATTAGTGTGTTAAGGCTATACTTGCCATGGGGCTTCATCACCACTGCTGCATTTACATTCCCTTATTCTTTAAGCAGTTAGTACAACTGAAAACTAGGCACTGTACAGAGCATGAGGAGTCAGGTCAAAGGTCAGATATTTGAGACCATTTTCCCACAGCAGCCCTGTGTGAGTGATCCTTTACTGTGTTAAAAAAAAAAAGAGGATTAGAGAGGATTAGCAAGAATATTACCCTCCAGAGTGTAGGCCCAAGGCACTAAGAGAAGAACCTAGCCAGGCAGTAAATGTGCTTTATTTGGCCAGGGCACAACCCCTACCACATTCCTTCAAGAATCTGAATGGGAAAAGTTAAGTCCTCAAACTGGATTAGTAAATAATCTCATAGTTTGTGGCATCTGCTGAAATAAATCGGTGAGTTGGCTGCATTCTTACACTTTGGGAGACAGTCAAAGGAATTGCCAGCCACATTGATCAAAGATGTGGATTAACTTTGGCTGTTATTGAATGAGACGCTATATTCTAGTATTTACTTATGAGTTGTCTTCTCCTAGAGCCGAAGCTATCATTTCATGCTTCTAAAAATTACTTATCTGTTTCTAATAAACTGAATTCAAAAGGAACATCCCTCTTTTTTTAATATACCATGAAAAAACAAAATTGCATATCCTGTGTTTAAAGGGAAATGGAAAAGTTATTAATTCTTGTAGTCTTTGGCTCTTCTATGTATTGTATATTCTGCTCATGTAGGGAGAAGGCTAAAACTGAGAAAATCTGAAATCAGAGATACTTTGTGGTAGCACAGCAAAACCACGTTAAAACCAGGATTTTCTGAATTTTGCTTGATTCTTCTTCATTTTGTTAGCATACTGGCACTTACCACCAATTTCTGATTTGCTACTGATACTTGAGAACTAACAAATACTTAGCCCCCTGCATTGTTTCACTGATAAAACAGTAAAAACACCAGGGTTTTTATTAGCCTAAACTTGCAGCTCACTGGTATTGTACCAGCAGCACTATATTTAATGCATCTTCTACAAAAATGTTCGTGTTTTGCCTCATAGTAGATGCGTTTTTCCTGATATTCTGTATGTGAAAATCCCAGTTTAAGAGCCTTATACACCGATATATGGTTTTTTTTTTTTTCCTTTTCCCCTTCCTGTGCAAAGGGATGCTTTTTTCAACAGATAGAAGTTGGTCTCTGTGTGATGTGCTCTGTTATGCCTCAAATAATTCTTCATGTTTCACAGTTAGTAAAGATTTAAGAATGTTCCATGTAACAAAGTGCTTTCCACTTTTACTTTCAGTATTTGCTAGAAATGAAAAGCTTAGTTCTACCTCCAGAGCACATTCTGAAACGAGGGGACAGTGAGGCAGTAGCGTATGCTTTTTTTCATCTCCAGCACTGGAAGAGGATAGAAGGAGCTCTAAATCTGCTGCACTGTACGTGGGAGGGCAGTGAGTATCTTTGTTTTGTTTTTAGTGGGTTTTTTTCTTTTCGGACAGTATCCAAAATCAGCAGTAATCCCTCTGCCTTTATTCCCCTCAATCACAGTTGGTTCTCTCTGTGGGAATCCAGTTTTTTGGTTTAGCTATAGATCTCATGTTGCTCACTCTTTTTTTCAGCATTTAGGATGATCCCATACCCGCTAGAGAAAGGCCATCTTTTCTATCCCTATCCGAGTTGTACAGAAACAGCAGACAGAGAACTGTTGCCAAGTAAGTGGTTTCTAGGCATTAATGATGATAAAACATAACCTAAGGAAGTATTCAGTTTGCGTTGTTTTGTATTTACCTTATTGTGGTTTCAGGTTTGAGCTTCCCACGAAGGGGATTCAGCTAGTTATTGTTGTCCCTCCCAAATGATCCTTAAGCACTTAACATGTGCACGAGGATAAATGTTAGCTTGATTCTATAATAATCTATTAGGCCCTTCCAGGAGGAAGCTTCTGTGTATGGTACATTCAGCCTATGTTTTCCCAACTTTGAGAGCAAAAAAAAAAAAAAAAAAAAAACCAGGACCAGTCCTTTAAATCACTTCTTTTAAAAGAAGTCATAGATTTGGTTACTGTTGCAGGGGAGCTGTTTCCTTTTAGCAAGCTGTTTTCCAGTCTTACTTTCAAGTATCTGGCAGAACCTGTTTGTGATCTTAAAGTCCTTGGTTAATCTATAGCCTGAGAGACTATTGATTTCTGTGATTAATTTATTGGTATGTATTTATCCACTGCACAGTATGCCTCCTGGAATTTTTTATCCATTTAGAGCACCTTACGGATTTATACTAACACTTGACACTGAAGAGCTAAGTGCTCTTCAACTGCCCATTACCTCAAGATTACTTTATGCAAGTATGAGCCTGCATGATCTTTTTGGTAAGGCAACCTGAAAATAAACCATTAGGACCCTTCCTCATTATGTCTGAGAAAGTAACATTAATTTAGATAAGAATTAGACTCTTAACTGTATGTGCTAATAGAATTCTTTTAAGGTGAACTTCTATATCATGAAGAAACACAAGTCCCAGAGGACTGTGAAGGGCTACTGCAAAAGTACCACCAGACCCACTGAGACCACAGCTGTGGAAAAGCAAACCTACACATACGTATTTCTCTTTAAGTGCCTGAAGTTATATTTAAAATGTGTAATTTAAATTTGCCCCCAGACTGCTTTAAATTACTCATTTCTCACTTATGCAGGATATTGCACAAGGAATTCCTTGGTTAGTGACTAACCCTAAATTGTAGACTTCCCAGCATAATTAAACACCAACACATGCACATATTTCAACGCGATCACTCACGCATTCCTGTTATGTTTTAAATATAAAAGTACCCATAAATAAAATCATCTTAACACTTTTATTGCACTACTTCCCCAAGAAATTTTGACACTTAATTTTTTTTAAACTTATCTATTTAAAATAATGTTGGCCAAATTAATGATTCAAAGACCCTGAATTGGTCTGACTAGTAACAATTCCCAAATGGCTGTGAATATATAGAACTGTTTTTAGTTACCCTCATGTATTTTGGATGTGATTCTAATATCTCAGAGTAGGAGCAAGGGGTATAAAAAGAATACTTCTCTCTGTCTCTCTCTCTCTGTCTCTCTCTCTCTCTCTGTCTCTCTCTCTCTCTCTGTCTCTCTCTCCTCCTTTTTTTCCTTTTTTATCCCTAATCCTTTCCTAACTTATTTTGCGGCCTTTTGTTGTGGTGTTTTCTAAATTACATTGCTCCCTGTTTTGAAAATCAGGTGAGTTTCTTCGTCGCATGAGAGCTTGGCATTATGCAGTAGTAGACTGCTATTCCTTTCTTTGCTCAGTAAAGAAGAGTGCATTGCTATCATATGCTATCATAAAGAAGTAGCAGGGCTAGTTGCTTGTTGAGAAGATGAACTGATAATCTCTGGGATATCATTAAACATCTCTGACTGGCATTAGACATAGAATACTGTGTGTTCTAAATAGTTGTGTTCTAGAATCACAGATTTAAAAGCAAAGCAAAAACCAAGCCCCCTTTCATTAATGCGTTATAGGCAAGGGCACAAGTTGCTTTTGCTGGGGTTGCTTTTATAATAACTTTTTTATGTGCCAACATTCAGAAACAATACCTGGGAGAGTGAGCTGTCTTTTTTTCTCCTCAGACTTCGGTCTGCTGCATGTTAAAAGCCAAAAAATACAGGTACAAGATGAAAAACTAATACAGGGAAAGCAAATAATGAAGACAATTATATTTCATGTCTTCTAAAAAGACTTCCCTAAATTTTGCTTTTGTAGATTTAAAACCAGCTTGTGAAGAAATATATGCAACCCTTTCATAATTATTTTATCTAAAGAAACCTTTTTTATTTAAAAAAAAATTCAGAATCATTGGTAAAATGTCAGAACTGCAGGTATTCAGAGTCTGTAAGTAATTGCAAATTCACTAAACAGATCCTCAGCTAGTAAGCAGTTTTAGTGTCTTGAGTGCTGAAAGCTCCATATGCGAGCCCCTTAGGCTGTCTAATCGCCTTCTTTTGATTTTGTTACCATAGATTGGAAATTGCATGGAACTGTTATGTACAGAATTTATAACCTAGTGCTGGAGCTGTTTTCTTTGAGGTCTGCTCTGTCAGCTGGTTGAAAAATTTACTGTAGTCTAAAAACTACAGTTTATGGAAGTTTTATGGAGCTACCTTGTGTGCATATATGATCTGATGGTTGTTTTGGAATGCTCATCCACCTTAAGTTCAGTAAATCCATTAAAATAGGAGAGGCAGAAAAACTAAAATATCCTTGAAATATGCTGTTCTCTTTAAATAATAGAATTAATACTTCAAAAGTTTGAAAACACCTGAATTGTTTAAATTGGTCTAGGTAATTTGTCTGGAACGTGTATTTTGACAGCTTGTAAATTTTATAGCTCTTCCCTCTGTCCTGTTAAAAGAGCAGGTATCAAAAACTAAGCCTGATGAAATGCTTTAAAAATAAATCCCATGCAAGTGGAAAAGACTGGGAAAAGAAAGCTGTGGTGACTGTTAACAATGAGCAAAGGCATTTAATGTCGGGGAAAATTCTTTACAAGTCTGGAAATTTCAAGTACTGGGACCTAATGTTTTGTGCTGCACAATAGTTGTGAGTCCACACTTGCACTTTCTGTAGATCTAGAATTGAGAGTATAATTAATTCAGAAATCTATCCTATTCATTATCAAATGTCAATATTCTTAATATTTTCCTTTCAGCGTTTCATGAAGTCTCCGTTTACCCACAGAAGGAACTTCCCTTTTTCATCCATTTCACAGCAGGCTTATGTTCCTTTTCAGCAATGCTTGCCCTCCTTACACACCAGTTCCCTGAGCTGATGGTCGTTTTTGCTAAAGCTGTAAGTATTGTTTCTATCGTGGGGCTTGCTTAGAGAATCTTTGGAAGTTCTGAGGTCCATGTTCTGCGGTGCTGGAGGCTGTAGTCAGTGCCGTGCTCCTTAAGGTGCTGTGTGATTTATGTGATGCTTAATAGAATTGGATTCATAGCTTACCAGAAGACTGGGATTTTTGTAGTGTGTGGGATTTTTTTCCCTCCCTCTTCTTTGTTCTTGTTTGGTTTGGGTTTTTTTGCTGATTTAATCAGGTTACTCCTGAATACCCATTGAATGCAATAGAACTCTAGCTTCTACTGTCTCATTGACTTGATTTTTCAGCTTAAAATTCAAGCTGGAAGTAAAAAACTTTTGCATTCTGATTTAAGAGGCTTTTCCAGGAGCCAACAGGAGTTAAACCCCAAGCCTTGAGAATGTTTAGATTGTAAACTCTCTGAGGCAGAAACTGTTTAAATCTTTATCTTGTATCATGTTGAGGACATTGTGCATAACAAATAAAACTTTGCACATTCTCTGTAAGCCGTTTAACTTGCTGCTGCTTTTTGTTATCTTGCAAAGGAATGCTCTACAGTGAGCAGTGATGGATGCTCCAATACTTACAATAGCAATTGTAAAATCTTCCTGTAAGACATGTTATTGCATGAAAGTTGGAAATCAAATAAAGGCCTGTAACTTTTTAAATGTATTTCCATTTTACCACTATTTCTCACATCTTTGCCTTTTAAAAATTGGAGATGTCAACATCCGTGTAGCAGATGTTTGCAGTGTTTCGCTACGTGTCTGCTCAGTGCTTGATACAGGAGGTGTTAGAGCTTGTATAGGAAATTTAGACACAATCATTTATCAAATGATAACTTAGCTGCTTTCCTTCTGTTATATGCATTATTACTGTGCTGTAAACAGGGGTGCTGGTCTTCTAGAATTCTACTTAGGCAGTTGTTACATTTTAAAGGTGCCACTACAGAGAGGCTTAGTAATCATGACTTGAATTCTTCCGTACAGCAACTGTTTGGCAAATCTCTGCAAAGACAGTATTTTGTGCGATTCAGTGGAATGTTACTGAGATCCACTTCACTTGCAGGACACAGAAAACTAGTGAGAGGATGCTGCCTTGTCCTAAAGAACTTAGCTATGGACAGTTTGGACAGCAGTAAACAGCCTGGTTTTGAAAGTGGCTAAAACTGTTCCATTTCAGAATGAATGACAGGCTTTTTCTGCCTGTGTTCTTGGGATCCTTCTGAGACCCATAGAAAAGTACATAGTGATGGGTTAGAAAGCAGCAATGTTATTGCAGCAGTGGTTATGTTGTGAAACATTTAAGTTGTTAGAATGCAAAAACATAGTTCTTTCCCTTCACTTAACCAATGGATTTTTACAGCAGAGTAAGGAAGAACCTACCTGTGGAATTCAAGTTCGGAAAATTTTCTTCATCAAATTTCATAAAAATGAGATTGCCAGTGGAACCCAGCCTTTTGTATGCGGTGGTACATATTGTAATGGTCTTTTGCAGTTGCAGTATGTCATTGTATTCAAACAGCTGTTTCCTTGGACTCTCAAAGTTCTGCTGTCTTACCTCAACGAAGAGGGAAAAACTGCATAGGCAGTTTCCCCTCCCCTCTTCTCAAACTAAACCGTGTAATACCTTTGGCCTTTATTGAACTAAGGATCTATAATCATGCAGTAGAGTGGAGTGCTAGCTAAAGAGTACTAAACTCTCAATGCGTTATTTATTCAAGCTGTGCTAGTCAAAAGCCGGGGTGAAAGAGATTCTGCTTTCTTGCTGCTTTAATGCACCAGGTAACGGAGACCTAGAAAACAAGCCTTTCTTTCTTAATAATACATTGTTCCTAAAATGTTGGCTTTGCTAGTGATTCTAGTCTGCAATGTCCAAGTCATGCAGGTCTGAGAATGAGGGCCCCACTTCCACACAGTTCTGTTGATCTTTATGTTGGAAAATGTAGTTGGACATGCCAGTGACAAATTTCAGTGCTGCTCATAATTGGCTGGCTTCATGTAACTAGGGTCTAACTATCTGCTTGATTAATTCTGTAAGGACTGCATTAGCAAAGTTGTATGATTTCCAAAGAGATACAAGGTCAAATGTTATGCTAACAAAGAATCGCCTGGTGAAGTTCTCCCTGGGTTTCTTGAACCAAAAAAAGACTTTGTACAAGTTAGTTGGCTTTGCATAATGGCATTTTGAATATCAAGTGACATGTTGTCCAAACGTGGAAAAAAAACTCACAGGGTTTGTTCATTTGGCAGCGTATTTATTTCACTTATTTTCTATAGGGAAGAACAGCTCAAAAGATGATCAGGAAGCATGCATATCCCTGCATAATTTTACCAACCAATTGACCTTAATGGCAGGGGGAGAAAAAAAAGGGTGCCAGCAAAAGCAGAGATTACCTCTTGAGATAAAGAGAGGACAAGTGAATTCCTTGTTAACCTACTGAGGTTGACAGCTGAGAGGAAAACACCACCTTCCACTATTCTGCTCTTTCTTCTTATTTTAATTATTAGATTATTGTACTCTTAATCCTGTTCCTGATGTCGTCTTCAGCATTGTTCAGAAAGCTCATAAGAAACAAATATATTCAAATACCAAACTAATATATTCAATTTTATTCTTAGATTGTTTCAGATCCTTTGCAGGCTGTTTCTGTATTTTAACTGTTGATACTACTGTGATGACTTCTAATGCTTGATAACACATTATCTTCGGTGTTGTGGAAGTGTGTGGCAGTAGCATCTGTATGAGTTTTCATGCTGAAAACAGAAGTTTGCCTTTTCGTTCATGACCCCTTCTTCCCCCCCCCCCCCCAAACATACTGCAATAAAACAATTATTTGTTGTATCTAGTGTCATGCCTGCAGGTAATTTCAATATTTTAAGCTTTTTAAAGTAAAAACTGGTTTTCATGATTTCAAGTGTTTTTAAATATTTTTTGTAACTTATTATCTTGACCTTTATCTCAATCTATTACATATAATGAGATACTTAGGGAGCTTTGGACTCAGTGAAAAAGTGATCCAATAATTTGTTGGAAATTTATTTTGTAATTACTGAATTTCCAACAAATCCAGAGCATGGTTGTAGGAATGACAATTTCAAAATACAATGTATATGGAATTTTTCACTATAATCTCTTTGAATAACTCAAATCTAACTACTTAGGTTACATTTGAATTGTTTGTTAATCAAGCTGTTGTTTCCAGCAATTGAATATATCTTAGGAGTTGCACGACTCTAAAGAGCTTTAAAAAGTTGAATACCTTTCTATTGACCAGAAAAGTCTGAGTTTACATATTTTCATTTGTTAGTGCTTGAGTTTGTTTCCCCCATAATAAATCACAGGGGAAACCTTGGCAAATTGCTAAAAATATTCCAAGTGGCCAAAAATCACAAAGAAGCATTTACTAGTTCCAATGTATACAATCCAATACACCATCAACAAAAGTCTTTAGCACTGGCACCTACTCTGATTCAACTCCCTTTGAAATTGTTGGCAGTCTTTCCATTGTATTCACTGACCTTGGGTTCAGGTGCCAGAAGGGTTTTAGTTATGTTTTATACAGGTGGAAGGGTTTGCAGATGTTAGGGACTGATGTTTCTAGAAGTACTGATCCAGCTAGAGCCACCTGTGGTTTTATTAGTTCTCTTGCTACTCAGACTTCTCAGTTTTAATATCCCTCAACTAGGGGAGGATGTACCCTGCAAGCCAGTTTAGGTGATGACAATGGAATATGCAGCAGTAGAGAATGCAGTATGAGCCACAAAAAGAGTGCGTACCCTCTCAGTGTATGTTGTAGTTAAGAGCTCGACCTTGCAGTTTTTTCAGATACGTTTCTGATCTCCTGGAGAATCCCTCTGTTACCGATAATCTGGGGCTGCTGTGTTTCTTAAGCAGTTGCTGTTCAGGATTTTCTCATTAAGTTACAGAAGGGAGAAGGTACAAATAAAATAGATGACATGAATGTATACAGTTCACTGTGTAAGCTGAAAAATATTCTATATTCATCTAAAACAGTTTCTGTCAAAACTGCAGACAAAAGGATCTGATTCTTTTTGTATTTCTGTGAATTTTTAATAACTGCATAGGTGGAGACCTGGGTAGTTGCGAATAAACTTGCAAAAGTGATGTTGCACAATTCCTTCTCTAACGTCACATAAAGACACCAAAAAGTCTTCTCTTCAAGCAAATTGCGGATGCAGAGTGACAGTAGGCGCTGCAAGCAGTCTTGTCAGAAGTGCCTGAAAACTGCTAGCGTGCTTGCCTTCAAAAGAAATATTTCCCATTTTATGAGTCCTCATGTCCTTTTTCCAATATGGTCTGTTGGAATAGATCATAATTAGTTAACATTAAATTACTGAAAAAAATTGCAGCAGCGTTCTAGTTGGGAACCAGTGTTCCTACTGAAAGCACTTCCTTGTGCGGTGAATTGGACTAGTTCCTAAGACAATCCATGTTCCAAAGTGTTTGATATAGATTGCTTGATATTTTCACAGCAAAGTAGTAAGTCATGGGACTTAAATTGGTTAATTTTTGTGATTACAAGATTAGGAGAAAACATTTTTCATGGTGGTTGTTCCATAGCTACCCATTAGAGCATTTTTTGCTGTTTTGCTGATAGCAGCCATTGCTAGAGACAGAACATGGGACTAAACAGACCCCAGTCTGGCAAGTCCTGTTTTCTGTGATGCTCTGCTTTGCTTTCTGAGCAAATCCCCCTACCACTTTCCCCAAAGCTCATTAAGTGAGACTGGAGAATTAAGTTTTTAGCCAGCTGCTGAACTTTTCATATTTATAAACACTTGAGTCTTTTGCTTATCTAAGAGAAAATGTGTATAGTTTGGAGATGTGCACTTCCCTGCCAATGTGTAATGAGTGGTTCTACACTTCATAGAAAAAAAGCCTGAAGTTTCCTGTCACAGCTGAGTGTCGATGCCAAGGGCAAAGGTTTCTTGCCTCGCTAATCTACATCTTAACTCATGCACTTAATGTGAAGGTGCCACACGCAAACAGGCAGGGAAGAAGCTAGCTGCCATGAAAAGCTCCTGCACTGTTGTGAATGTTATGTTTTAAAAGCTTTTTTAATGTAATATTTGAGGTTATGATATAAGCCAGGAGGGCCAAAGTAAAGCCCTCAAAGTAAATGAGTTCTGTCATTGCTGTCTCATAGAAAGAGGGTTTGTATGAGGATAACATGAATCCCAACTGAATAATTGGGGGGATGGGTTGGGAGGGTGCAGGGGAGTTTGCACCATTTGTTTTAATCTAATCTTTATTTTTGGAACTGTTTAGATGGCATCTAGAATACAGATCCTGTCGGGAAGCATGGGCTCTCCTTGCTGGATTGTCTGTTTGGTCTTCATGTGCTTGAATCAATGACCTATAAATAATCCATGACTGAATAATTAAGAAAATAATAGTACCCTCCTTCCCAGTCTGTGTAACACTGAAGACGTAGAGCTTAGAGCAGCTGGAAGAATTGTAGCATGTAGCAGTGCTATCCTAACGCATCCTGGTTGTGCCTAGGTATTGCGAGTTCTTTGGCCTGTGAGTGCTCCCAGCGTTCTGGCATCCAGCTGAGAGTGGACTGTACCCTCCCTCTAAGCACAGTGGGGTGAGTTAATGATGTCTGAGCCCTGGCTTCCCAGAGCTGCCCCCCACCCTTGAATTTGACGTGGGACTCTACTTTGTAGTAACGCACTATAAGGCGTTATCACGGTCTCACTGAAGCTATTCTGTGACTTTTAAGTGCTATTCAGATAAAAAGATGTGCAGTTAAAGCAGAGAGTTTTAAGGCCCAGTTCTGTTCCCCAGCCTTCTTGTTGTCTCATCAGCTTTAAATAAATCTCAACCTTTATGCCTCCATTTACTAAAAGCAAAATTGTAGTAAAGCTTCATATGTGACAGATGTTGAGGGTTCGGTGTTGTCCTACAGATGATGATTGAGTCTCTGTGTATGTAAATCTACGTTAATATTTTCTACAAGCCTGGCATCAGTACTGAGAGAACTGTAGTTCTGTATTGTCTGGAGGAAAGATGCAGGATGTCTTTGTTCATACCTTAAGCCTAAAAAAGTGTGTTGTTTTTTGAAATTGAGTTCATTGTTGTTGTTGTTGTGTTCTGTTTCTTCCAGTTCTTTGGGACTCCTCTTTCACTCTTCAGCTTCATAATGGAAAACATTGAGGTCTTCATACTGTCTGTTCTCTGGCACCAGCTGACTCCAGTTTGACTGGAGCCTGCTTTTCATGATAGTTCGATTCCGTTGATCTCATGAGCATCACCTCCAGCATCCACTGGGCATGGTTAGCTGACATCTGGATGGGGGAACAAGGAAAGCTGTGTTATTCAAAGTGGTATCTTTCACAGGCTTCCCCACTGGTAATGGTGCTTAATGTTATGAATTTATTTGACCTTAGAGCCTGTAATCGTTTAAGGAAATAGTTTTTGTTGAGCAATATCTTATTGCTCTCTTAATCACTTGTATAACCAGAAGCTAATGCTTCCTTTGTAAGAAATGAAAGAACACAAATTGAACAGATGTTTTGAGTATTGACACTTCCTTCTCAGCTGCAGATGCAGAACATAATTGGCTTCAATTAAATTTCGTAAGCCTTTTTCAAAATATTTGTTAACAGCAAAGTATGGTTCCGCTTTCTTTATTAAAAGGTTGCTTCTTAATACATTGAGTACGTTGGCTTCTTAAGCAGTTGTTTAATATAGATGATACTGTACAAACAAAGATCTGTTTTTTTCCTGTATCCTGGTAAGTTTGCATCACACAAGGAAATGGTAGTATAAATTCCCCTATTTCATATTATTATCTCTTTAGATTTAATTGTACGTCTTCTGTCTTTCAAATCCCTTTGCCTTGAAGAACTAGGAGGTTTCTGTAACTGCCAAAGTGATTGTGGTATCTGCATGGGAGTCTCCTTGGGAGACTTGAACTTTCAAGCGTTAATCTGAAGAAAAGTACTAGCATTGTTGATACCAACACTTGAAGAGAACTGAGATGAGGAGCACTCTTCAAAGGAATTACTTGCTGTATGGACCAGCCACAAACGTTTGTTTAGAGCAGAGGTGAAATGATAGCTGTGGCAGCCAAGTGGCTTGAGGTAACTGGTGTGACTTCCATTTTTGCTCTCCTCCCGTTAGAGAAAATGTCTACTTCACGTTTGTGTCTGCTACTTTGTATTGAAGAAGCAAAGTCATGTTAGCCTAGGCTTCTTAAAATGGGGAAATCCATAGAAAATAGCAGAGGCTTGTGGATAAAAGCTAATTCCGGGCACATGAAAAGTTGTAAATCTTCATATATTTTTAATAGCCACATGAAGTTACTGATAAGGGCTAAGGAGATTTTACATGCTTAAACTTCTCTAATTTTCATGAATGAGTGATGTAAGGTGTGACCTTGAGGGCTTCTTTGAAAGGTATTGTAAATGACTGCAGTTTCTGAATCCTGTATGGAAGAAGCTTACTGTATCCCTTACCTGTTAAGATATCTTAAGTAGTACCTAAGTCAATCAGCAGAGGTAGTTCTTCATTCTGAAGCTATTCAGTTCTTTAATGGAAGCAGGACTCATAAGGAAGAGAGGATATTCTAATGAATACAGATAAAGTATTCCTTAATTCTGATTCTCTGAAAGTTGTCTTTCTGTACACTTTCGGCTTCTAGTACTCTCTCTTCTGCAAGCTTCCAGCCAAAGGATCAGTTAGCAGGTGCAAGGAGTGGAGTGGTCATCCCAGCTTTTAGCAGAATATGAAATGAAAATGTGCAATACTTCGTATCTAAGGCCGTTTGCATTGTCCCGTAATCTATCTTGACGCATAAGACTGAGAATAAATTTGCCAAATCCTTCTTTAACTTGTAAATGAAGGACTATGAAGCAGACAGTCACCTTTGCATCTCATATAAGTATAGCTTGCTTATTACTGCGGCCAAGAGGAAACACACACGTTTAAGTAGAAATGTCATTGATGCTCTCCACTGTGTTTTTGTATTAGCTGTGTTTTAATCCAAGTTAAATACTTGCATTCATTGAGAAGTCAAGAGGGAAGTCCTCTGGAACGGTACTACCAAATTTTTTTGAGTTGCCCAACTACTAGTAGGTAATTTTCTCAACTTTCTTTCCAGTTGAATGTAAGCCATTGGGGCCATTTCTCACTGTGGAATCATTCTGGTGATTAATAGATATGTTGTGTTCATGTAACTTCGCTTCTTGGTCTGCAGGGGCCCATAAGGTAACCAACCTAATGCTTTTTAAAGTTGAACATTTTCCAGCGTTTGTGTGGGGTTATAAATGAAGCACTGCCTCCATGTATCATCCCAAGAGCTGCTTTCTTTCACTGTCCTCCCCTGACATAACAGTAACAGAAAGGGGATGGGCTTATGCTGAAAGTATAGCTGGCAACAGTCTATGTAATGAAAATCTTCTTGCCTTTCCAGAAGTGCCAGTAATTCTTGAGGCAGGAGGAGCTCTGTATGATTTTCTAGCAGGACTGTGCATACTTTATAGGAACATTCCTTTGCCGCTTAAGAGCAAGAGCTCACTACCTGATCTGTACCATGGTAATATCATTTCAGTCCACATGCAATTAAGTTGTGTATATACAACAAGTCAGTTAATGACTCAGGAAAGATAAGCACTGATTGTTGCCATTTCCTGGAAACAAGCTGTAGAGTAACCTTATAGTCATTGGGATGGCAAAGTTCCTTTTACAGAAAAGTGTAGTAGACTTCTCAAATTTTCATTCAAAGTAGCTAGTAAAAGTCAAAGACCTTGAAAAATCAATGTTTATTTGTATACCTGTTGCTAATAAGTGTATTTGTAAAGTAGGATAATTATATTTTTTTGATTCATACTGGCAGAAGTAGAGTTTAGTTTTTTTTTTTCTTTGTCACTCACACTGTCTCATAACATCTTATGACAAATCCACTTCTTTCAGAATATCTAGGAAGAGGAATGCTGCATTTCTTCCAACCAATCTCTTACTGTTCCATAAGCACAATCTCTAAAAAAAAGACAGGAAGAAAGAAAAGAGGGAAATGCTTTCCCAGGCACTAAGTCTATTGATTATGAGACAATTAGGTGGCTAAATTCTTGTGTGAATTTGCCCTGTCTTTCCATTGATTTTAATGAAAGGTTACTGAGTATCTAAATATGGTTTTGGTTCAGGGCCTTTATTGCACGCACATCTGGAGAGATCACACAAACATGATTTGCAGTGTTATTATTGAAGGAGAGCTTTCTAACGTTGAGTGACTTTAAATGAAGTGGAAGTTTAGTTCCCAAATGCTATTGGGTAGTTGATGTCACTTAGACATACAAATCCCTTAAGCCTAGCAAATGTCTATCAAGTATAGTATTCCTATATACCTATTTTATCTGAGGAATTATTAAGTTTGGAAAACTGTCTGCCACAGATTCAGTCTGAAACTTTGGCCCCTTTATGTAAGTAGGAGTGTTTCAATCCAATATATCATAACAGATATAGTGGTCCTACCAAAGGTCTACAGTGGCCAGTATCAAATGCCCAAGGTAGAGTGTAAAAGAAAGACAAGCGTGAGCGTGTAGCAGTGTCTTTAGAACACTCTCCAACCACTTGTAGTGCAGAGACTTCTCCACCGGGAGTAGTGTCCTTATACGGAACAGCTTTCAAGGGGTAAAACTTTCCACTCGCTAACTTGGTACCATAATAAAAACTTAGAGCAGTGGTGTAGTAGTTTAGATTAATATGTGTTTCTGGGGAACAGGATCTGCATGAGGCAACACTAGTTTATTTGGGCTTATCAACAATATCAGGCCTCTAGAGAATGAACTGTCGTCCAGTTGGTTACCATGCGGTGTGCCTTTCATTCTTTGAAACTACAGATAGATGTTGCACTGCTAGCTTTTATGCGTGGTATGTGGCAACAACTTCCTATCCTGTCAAAAACCCCAGTCACCAAGGTTATGTTGTCGAGTGCATCCTGGAGGTGGTCACCTCTCAGCCCTGGCTGCTGCATTGAAGTGATTCTTGGTACAGCTTTATTGCAGTTTGGTTTCCCTTTATTGCATCTCCTTCAGTATTGGCCAGGCTTGTTTATTTCCCACCTCCCTATCCTGGAATTGTTGTGAGGGTGACAAGGCTTGTAGATCCATGACTCTGAGCAAGGCAGGGTTCAGAGGTCATAGTCAAGACCATTAATAACAAGGTGCAAACGGCTGGTTTATATGTAATGTGAAGCTTTTTACTTATTTCATTTTTGCACTTTGGGGGCTCTGTTTGCTTATGGAGCGCTTGGTGTCTGGTACCTATTTAGGCTGAGAGCAGGCAATTGGGTTCCTTCAGGCCTTCAGAGGAATGCAGCAAATTGTTCTCTGGTGTTGTAATTCTGCTGGGATAACTGGAGCTTATTTGTCTCACTGCTTATTAAATGCATACTTGTCTTGAGGTCCTCTTTTTTTTTTTTTTGAGAAACATTGGGTGAATCCCAAGGACCACAAGTGAGAGGAGGATTCCAGGGGGAGGGGGGAGAGCGCCTGCACCTCTCTATAAACTGCATCATCAGCCTTCAGTGCCAGCGGGCTGAAGAGGTTAAATAAGAGAGCAAATTCCCTCAGAGAAAAGGAGATGCGCATATGGGGTTCTTACAGCCATAAATTAGTTTTGCCCTTTCCCCCCTGCCCAGAGAATGACAGGCTAAGGGGAAGTGCACCTCCCAAACTACTAATATAATGGGTCACGTAGGTGGGAGCCATGTGAAACTATATTGAGATTTTAGACTAGGAACAGCTGTGGAGGTAGGGAGCAGATGTGTACTGATGCTATATCCTTAACAGAGGACAGTATTGGTAGCAAGGTCAGAGAGAGCAAGATGGAATTCATATTCTACCAGCCTCTGAGTAGTGCCCATCTTTATATGCTCTGCTGTCAAAAAGAAGCAGCAGACTCCTTATTTTTCCTTTCTATGGTTAAGTCTGTATTGCTGCATAGATGGTATGATGCTAGCTATTCTGATCTGCTTATGGGTCAAAAATATCTCCTAAACATCAGGTCACACTGACAGTAGCAACAGTAGTGTTGGGCTTCTGTGCTCAGTTCTGCGGTCTCAATTCATCTAACTTTTAATAAAAGATGGATAAAAAGGAAAGGCGCTTCAGTTGCAAGATCTTGTCTCTAGTCTCCTAGTGATTTGCTCCCTTTCTCGAGCCTCGTAATTGAGGCATGCTCTGCATGCCCCAGCCCTTAGCGCTGTGGAAATAGAATGGTCATCAGGGATGCTGCAAATGTGCTGGGAACCTTCCTTGTCATTTCCAACTTTAATTGGTGTGTCTTACTTGTTGTTAGACCCTTGGATGAGTCTGATTACTGGGGAATGCTATGTAACATACCCGCACTTACTATGTCAGTGAGGGTGCTTCCATGAAGATGAATACATTTCTCTGTTGGGGATCTTCTTGCTCTGGTTATTTCTGGCCGATTACATTTTTCCTTTACTCTGGATACATTTAATGTTACAATCGCACCTTGGCCTCATCAACTCAAACCCTTCTCTTAAGCAGCCTCTTGATTTCCTTTCTATTCTGGCTGTAGGCTATCATCAGTTATAAAACAGTGCGACAGCGTATGACTATTGTATTCTCCTATACTGACTCATCAGCTGAGATTTCAGAGCAGTAATCCCCCTGCTGCTAGTTGGAGTAGCCCTCTGTGACTTGCGTTCAGTAATAATGGATGAGTACGCTCCCACACAGATCTTGACAGATTGTGCAAATGTTAGTGGAAATGCCCCGATAAATCTGTCCCTGAGATTTGGACCTGATACAGGAAGAGCATGGTTATTCAGATAACCCACATGCAACTTGCTATTACTTGAGAAAATGGCCGGTAGCCATTGGCACAGGTACTTGATTGAAGCCTGTTGCATAAGTATAAATGTGATGGTACACAGAAAGGGTCTATGACAGTGACAAGGAGTTTTTAGGATTGAGACATAACTGAACAGTGTGTACCCTCTGGATTGCAGTAGGTCACAAAATTAATATTCCTATCAGTACACCCATCCAGAAAAAAGTATCTGCTGTCACCTGGGCTCAGGCACTCTCTCACTTGCACATGGTTTAGGAGACAGAATGCTCTGATGTTTCCTGTGTCTTCTACCTCTTCCTCCTGTGTGTCCTGTCCAGCTTCTTCAGAGGTAAGTTATTCAGAAACTCATTAAGCAATTAATTCTGCTCCTTGTCTTTGGGTTCAGACATGCTTGTGACTGGAGGATAATTAGAGCATGATCTTCCACAAAAGGTTGCCCATACACTTCAGGCAAATTACTTAAGAGGGGCATGTGAGTGGAACTGAGTATTCTCTGACAAGACTCCAGCCTTCATAAACTTTTATAGATGGAAAACATCTGTTTTCTGAAGATGACTGCACTGACAGAGTTTCAGTAGGCCTCATTTGTAAGACGACATGCAACAGCCTGAATTTCATTGAGCCTGCAAGTAGAACATCTTCCAGCTCAAACACTGAAAGTTGGCTCTAGTTAACCAACATATTTCTGATTCCTAGGTATTGTGCTTTTGCTATTTGCTTGTTAATAAACAAGGAGTGAGCATTGTCTCTGTGAGGCACCTGTGTGCTGGCAAGTGAGGGAAGTTGAAGCACAGAAACACCCTAAAACTCCACATGCTGTGTAAAGCATGTATGACTGTGAAAGGAGGTTATGTAATGCTTGCTTTGTCTGTCCCTAATTGCATCCCTCGGCGGTAAACATAAGTAGTCCAGGACTTGGCAGCCATGGGTTCAGCTGCCTGTGCTGTACAGGCTTCCAGGTGTCTTGACAAAATTCTTCTTTTCACTATGCCTGTTTACTTCATTCTCCCAAATGGGAAATGATTCTCTTCTCCCTTCTTCTGTCTTGCATGTTTAGGATTGGAAGCCCTTTGCAGAAAAAACTGTCTCACTTTGTCTGATAGAATCAAACTAATTGAGCTGTATCCACAGCCGATACTCTAGGTACTACTGTAAAACTGGTACCTGCTTCCAAAAACTTTTACTTTTCAAGTTGATTGCTGTAAATTGGAGTTTAGTCATATCTGTGAAAATGGGCATGGTTAGAGGGTTACCTTTTCAGCTATAAAGTGATAAAGGCATCCTGCTTTCATATCTTGATAATGATATAGTTTGCAGCCAGGAAGGGAGGAAGCCAATAAACCTAAGACAATCTGTCCTCGGGACTTCTTGCTCCTTCGTTGTGAAATGTTGAACGTCAGCATGCAAACAGAAGAAATATTTTAGGACCCTAGCAGGAGCCAATGATTAAGGTGTCATTCATCAGGTGGGTCTACAAATCTGCTAAGAACTAGTATTTCTGCTGGAAGAGAATTCCCAGAAGTTTTGTGGAGGGAAAGAAATGTTTATCAACAGCTGACCCTTGGGTGTCAGGGCACTAGGGTCCTTCTCAGCCTATTGAGGGTCTATTACTCTGGGAAAAAGAGGGAGGAGAGGCTTGGATTGATTGCGAGGGGGCAGCATTTTTTTTTCCAAGTCTATCTTAAATTGATGGTAGGTGGAGCAGTAATGAAGATAAATGAGAGCACTCTTCCCAGTGGATTAGACTGCATGCTGATGAACGCTGTACTACAGCAGGCTTAAAATGCCTTTGGCCTGGTTCAAACCTCCTCCCTTTCACCTGCTAGCATTCCTCTGACACAGTCTGGAGACGGAACAAATCTTTGAAAATTGCCTATCCTTGAAGTTCAGAGGGCTTTGAAGGGCCTGAGGTGAGACACAGGAGCCTCCAAGATAAACATGAGCCTGAATGCAAGTTCTGCATGAGCAGTGAGAAAGGAGGAAAGGTACTGTTGAGCCCTCTTGTGCTTAATCTACGCAGAATTTAAAAGGATTTCTGCTTCATTCCTGTGAGAAAGGAGACACAGACAAAGGAGAAATCAGGTCCTCATTTGCCGCAGCGTAGCCTATGAAGGTGGGAGTTGTCATTCTTCAAGCAGTACTGAGGCTCCAGGGTGCAGCATAAGCCTTGCTTCCTGTTCTTAAACCTGATGTGCAGGAGGCAGGTGACTGATATTTTAAAATGACTGACTTTTAAGTGGGCTGAAATGCTTGAGTGAAAAATATAAAACAAAGGAGTTTAGGTGCCTTTGTCCAGTCCTGTAAAATGGTAATAATAAGATTTAAGAGCTGCATTGGATGAAGAGTTTCATAAAAGGCCTTAGCATTCTGGAGGGCAAAAATACAGCTTGTACGCAGGTGTAGTTGCATTACCATAGAAGTTCAGTTTCACTTAAGAATTACAGGTGTACTGCCCTATTAGTTGCAGCACAGGAGCAGTCCGCCAAGCTTTGGCAGCACTGCTGTTGAGTTCACGCTATTCTGAATTGCTGCTGCGCTTCGTACATAGTTCTGTTAAAACTTTACCTTTTTGCTTGTTCATGGTTTCGCAGAAGCTATGCTGAAGATCCTTTTTCCGCATAAGCGATCTCCGTGGTCTGTCTGCTAAAGAGTAAGGCACTGCAATCTGCCCCAAAGGCAGAGTCTTTAAATTCTTTGAGCACTTCCTGTCAAAACAGTTTTCACTCACCAGTTAAACCTAATATTTCCTAGGGCCATTGGGTAAAGTTCTGTCTCAGAGGTGGCACTTCACTCTGAACAGTGTGATAGCCAGCGGTAGTTTAGAAATAGAATAATCTTCTTTGGTTTAATCCCATCCTGCTGCTTTGACTGTTCCCTCAAACCTTTGTGCTGTACAGCCTGCTCAGTTCCCTCTGTGCATACATCTCGCTCCCTGACAGTAGAAAGCCTCGAATTATTGGGGAAATTCTACAGCTCTTCCAGAAGCAATAGCAATGTAAAACCAGAACCAGAATTAAAAATATTTACAAGTGAATGTTAATGTTGACTTGTCCTTTCCCATTGTTGTAAGTTTATGCTTTCTTGAAAAGTTGCTTTGAAAATTTCCTGACTTGAGCATGAAACTTACTTACCTGCCCTTCAGCATGATGATCAATATAAGGAAAATTAATAACACTTCTGCTCAGCCATTAAGAAAGCATGTCTTGCCCTGGGCAAAGGGGGTAACCAAGCTCTGGAAGGGAAGTTTAGAAGCATCTATAACAATTAGATCTGCTGCTATGTTACTTCATGGCTGTTGACATGAAAGCACTTTAATGAAGTTCAGACTAGTGCAATTATTAGTCCAGTGGTTAGTTGCTGCAATCCTAAACTGTTGTGATGAGTTCCTTGCTGACGAGAGAGTCCTGGTATCTGCTATAGGATATTAAACTTTTAAAGCTTCAGCACATGCTCAGAAATTGCAATGATTTAGCTGAATTTCTTTCTGAATCAATATAATTGGTACAACTCTCCTATTTGTACACTAAGTCTGTGTGAATTGATCCTTTCTGATCAGTCTTTATAAAGCATCCTTGAACTAAATAAAGCATCTCTGTAATCAGTGCTTGCCCAGATTGGGGTGGGAGGGGGAAGAATTGAGGAAATCGCTAGAGATGAGAAGCATTAGTCTCTATAACATATCCACTTGCAGCTCTTTGGCTTCCTGCCTCTCCTCTTATCAGTTTCATTTTTAGTTGGTGGTTTTTAAGGGTGTTTCCCCCCCACCCCTATGGAAAAGATATGGAAGTTCATCTAGGATCTCTTGCTTGTCACAGTCATCATTAGATGTCTTGGGGTGTTTTGGTTCTTGTGAAGGATTCCATTGTGGGCTTAGTGTGCTGGACTATATGACTCTACTTTGCAGGAAGCTATGCATAATTACTGTGATGGGGAGGCCTATGCTTAAGGACTGCAGAACCTGTAGGCAAGAAGGCAGGAAGAAAAGCTGCAGGCTGATTCCCAGTCTGGAGGAAGAGATTGAGGGCTTCTCTGCCCAATTGGATATGTAGTAATTCAAAAAGCAAAAACCATAATTTTCTGATATAGGTTTATAATGAGTTTTGTCTTAAAATAATAAGCAGTATACACAACATACAAGTGAGTTTTACAGAGAGATGCTGTTGTATCCATTGACTTAGAACCTACCAGTTAGCTCACAGATTGTTCTATTTGCTTTCTCTAGCCCTCTGTTGGTTGTGAACTTGTATGGATAGCCTTTGTCTTTTTGCAGTTACTCAGCTTTCAGTTGACAATTTACAACACCACCTGTTATCTTCACGGGGGGAATGGGGTGAAGCTTCTGTGCAGAAGTTGCTCTTGTTCAGCTGGTGTCAGTAGTGCAGCTGGGGTATAGTATGCCAGGTCTGCTCGAGAGAATCATTGAGATCATAGAACTTTCTTAAGAATTTGCAACACCCTTCCTCTGGCCTTGCAAAAAAAGTAAAAGCAAGAGTGCTTTCTGCAAGAGTTTCTTATTTTGAACTACAGTTTTTTTTGCTGGTGAAACTTTACTGCAACAAAGTCTCAGGGAGATGCAGTATTCTTCAGTCATTGTATTCCAATGATCAGTCCTCTAAGTTCATATCAGTTGCACTGTCCGTTTGCAAAGATAACAACGGACAGCAGAAGTTTCACAGTTTAAGCAAGGATTGCAGACTCCTCCTAGGTAAGAGATTAGCTTTGCTGAGCAAACAGAAGGGTCTACAGTACCTCCTGGGAAATGTAGTCCTTTCTTTAGTGCTTTGCAGAATTAATTAAATAAAAGCCATGCAGTTGAACTACAACTCCCAGAATGCCATGGCCCATAGGGCACAAGTATTTAAAAAATTGAGGGGAGGGGGGTTGCAGTTGATTCTTCCCTGTGGTGTTCCCGTCTCCTCAGGTTTGGTCTAACCACTCAGCCCGTTTTGGTGCTTTACATGTGTGCACATCCACAGTGTCCTCACACTCCTTGCAGCGCACAGCACAGCACCAGTGGAACTTGCACTCGCACTTGGTAATACGGGTGACACGAGTGGTGTCGTACCCCCGCCCACAGCACATCACTTCACAGCCGTCTGTCCCACGGGACATCTTGTTGCACACGCGACCTGCTGTCCCCAAGGAGCCTAGAGGAAGGAAGGAAGAGTGAATTAAGTTGTTCTTCCTCATTCTTGTCCAAATGCTGCTCAGCCCATCCCACACGGCTGTTTGCTGTGGGTAGTACTGGATGTTTACCATCTACAGTGGAGACCTTAGATGTGACTGTTTTTTGGCAGGTGAAATGTAATTGTTTCTGACATAGTATAGATGTAGGTATCCACGTTTGTTATGATACGGCCTTTCTGAAGTCTGGGAACAGGTTGCTGAGCACATGCATGTGCTTGCTTTGCATGTCTTACAGTGTGGGTAGAAAGCCTGGTGCCCTGGAGCTGCTGTGGTGACCCTCTGAGGGGCTTCTTTCCTGTGTCAGCTCACAAAATTCCCTGCTGGAGCATGCACCCTCTACTTCCATGACTGAAGGAGCAGTGGCAGGGAGGGGAGGGGCAAGTCTGGGAACAGGTTGCTGAGCACATGCATGTGCTTGCTTTGCATGTCTTACAGTGTGGGTAGAAAGCCTGGTGCCCTGGAGCTGCTGTGGTGACCCTCTGAGGGGCTTCTTTCCTGTGTCAGCTCACAAAATTCCCTGCTGGAGCATGCACCCTCTACTTCCATGACTGAAGGAGCAGTGGCAGGGAGGGGAGGGGCTTTTCCCTGAAGAAGGCCCCCGAAGGTCAATCAGTGTGTGCATGATCAGCTGGCTGGGAGCAGGGGTGATTATGGCTGTGAAAGCTGGAAGTCACCCCTGCCTCTGCAGGATAGTACGTCTTGGCTAATGGCTCATTTAAGCGTGGCATCAAGCAAGAGGTTCACCTTCCCCATGGAGCGCTTTTGTGTCTCGGCCACCCTCCTGCACGCAGGGAGGTAGGCTGGCTGCCATGGTAACTGGCAGCCGTCTGAAGCCTCCCTGACCTGATGGATGGCTCCATCACTTGGAAAGCCCTTGATCTTCTTTACAGAAGCTGAGTAGCAATGACACTAGCTTCCCTGCGTGTCATCCCAACCTCAGGCTGTGTTCAGAGGATAAGTCTTCAGCCTGTTACACTAAATGGGCTCTTTATTGCCTATTTAAGGGAGCTTTGCTCTGCAGAAGAAAGACTCTGCTACATTCATTATAAAAGGTCTATGAGGTTTGGATCATCGGTTGTGAAACCTGAGGATTTTGGACAAATCCAGTTCTGCTTTGTGCAGATGTGTGCACTTTCGTGTGCACTTTCATGTGCCTTGACAAGGTGCTCTGTGGATACAGCGCTCCAGTGGCTGACACCACTTGAGGGCTCTGGTGGTAATCGGCTATGGCATCACCTGTGACAGCAGCTGTTACAAGCTGTTTGAGGATGTCCCAAGGTTTGGTTGGCATCTTCAGCCAGATGTACGTGGAATTAGGGCATGCAAAAATTTTGGAACAGGTGCATTGAAAATCTCTGCCTCTCTCTGAATTTGCCCCCTTGCTCATCTCATACTAAATGCTTATGTTAGAGTGTGATATTACCTTGAATGGCAGGGAAGGGGTGGTCAGAGGGTAAGCACAGAGGGTAGCAGCTTTCTGGTGCTACTGAGGGCACTTTCCTGCTTTTGGCATTTGGTATAGCTGTACAAAATCTGCCCTGTGCAGGGAGCCCTGTCTGTGTGGTGAGGGCCTAAATTTGGCATAAGGTTTATTAAGGTGTGAAAGAAATTCAGTGGAACGATCTCTACCAGACTGCTGAATTGGCCTGAGCGCCAGTGGAGCTCGAAACTAAAGACTGTGTTGGCCTAAATGCTGCAGATTAGAAATGATCCCCAGCTCCTGGAATATCTCTGGGATAAACAGGCTAGTGTAGTGCCAGGTAGTTCCCAGAGAGGCTGTTTCCCTTAGGAGCCTGACAGCTATTGATTTTTGTTATTGTGTCTTGACTTATGTGTACTTGTACAACTTCAGGATTTAAACTAAATGAAGCTCAAATTCTGTTACAGCCTCTTCACAGCCTGGAGCTCGTGTCTGCCTGAACAGAGAGCAGAAGGGATCTGCAGTGCTGTGCTAAGGTAAATGCGGGCACTCCCTTGTGCTGAGGACAGTTCTGCATGTCCTCAATCCCATGACAGCACCTTGGTGCTGATGCCCTAATGGGTAATCTCTTCCTCGATAGAGGTGGTGGGAGTCCTGCCAGGCTGGGCTGTTTGGAAGTTGCAGGCCTGACAGGAGAGGAGGAGGAGGAGGAGCTGCTCTTACCCAATTAATGGAACTTTTTTTTTTTTTTTTTTACCTGCTGACTTGTCCATCACGCAATAATCAGGTGAGTTCTCAAAATACACCAGGTCTGTTTTCGTGGGCTTCCTGAAGTTCTTGTTGGCCAGAGTGAAGCCAGTGCCATCTTGGTTCATTGTCACTTGGATGGCCCCGTTGTATTTCTTCCTTAGATAATCCCCTGTTTTCCGAAAATCTGACATCGCCAGCCAACAAGTCCTTAGTGTGCAGGAGCCGCTGACTCCGTGGCATTTGCACTCCAGCTTCAGGAAACGCTTTACAGCCTGTGAGAAGAGGGATGCTGTGAGGAGAGGCTGTGACCCTGTTGTGCCTGAATCTATTGGTCTTTGGAGTCGCTTGTTAGCCCTCTCGCTTGCATGGGATCATTCTCCCTAATGGTAAGGGCCAGTGATTTCTGTGAGCCCTGTCCTTTGAAAAGACCGCTTGGGCAAGACTCTGCAATTTTGGCCTTCAGTGGGGTTCCCTAGAGAAAGTGAGCTCTAGGAATGAATTAAGGCAAAGGTAGAGAGCCTCTTTGGTAAAACAAACCTCCCTCTCCTCCTCCCTGCTAGGTATGGCATCAAACTGCTGCAGGGTGATGCAAACTGAAGATGCATTTCAGTGAATGCTAATACTAACATCAGTGAGGACATTTATGCTGGGGGTGAAAGTAAACAGGAGACTTGCCTTCCCTACAGAGCCGTTTGCTGTCCTGGTCATGCAGAGGAGCGCAGGGAAGGCAAGGCAGTGTCCTGGAGGGGTGTCCCTCTGCAGAGCAGGCAAGCCCTGCCTGTGGCAGGACCTGAGCCTCCACAGGCACCCCAAGTACTGCTCCCTGCCCTGGCTAATGTCAGGGCTACACCCGCCTTGCCGGCAGAGCAGGAAGCTGCTCCTACTGCCCACTTCTGCTGGAAGTGTCCCAGAGTGCCTGGGTGCGACTGCTGGCTTGGCACAGGGACCAGGGACCAGCAGCTTGAGAGCAGGGAGGTACCTTCAGCTTTGCAATAGGCACTGGCTGCTGGATTCTGCTTCGGGAAGGTTGTGCCTGGCTGCAAAGGACACTCCTTGCAGCAAAAAGGGATGTGGGGAGGAATGTGGGAGCTGTCTGAGCACCAATGCACTCACCATCCTCCCGCAGCGGTTGTTGTGCAAGTTCATCAGTGCCCGGGCATCTTTCACTTTCTTCTCCTTGGCATCCACAAAGGCTTTGGCAAACCTGATTCCGTAGTTGATGTTGTCACTGCAGCCACCCCAGTCAAACTCCCCGCGCTCGTCCTTGGAACGGCCCCTCTTGAGAGGGTCGCAGCTGCAGGCCTTCAGGTCCCCTTGGCTGCAGGCCCGGGTGATGGCATAGACCACTCCTGCTGAGGAGATGGCATAGACAAAGGCGGCCTCCCTGCTGCCTGCCACAGGGAAGAGAGAATGAGGATGGGGAGTGAGTGTGCTGGGGCTTGTCCTGGGCACAGGGATCCCAGCTCCAAGAAATAAGGACACAAAGGTACGGCAGCACCTTTGTGGCTGGGAGTGAGATATATGCTGTGTCCTGCATAAAGGTAAGCCAAGTCCTGTCAGTCTCTGCTGTGTCCACACTGTCCAGCTTTGGCTTTTAAGAGCACCAACCCGCATTGGGAGCAAGGGATGGGGATGCGATAGGACTAGGCAAGGCTGACAGTCTCTTGACCTCAGCGTGGTCAAGAAAAGACCTGGGGTGCTATAGTGCAGTGACTGGAAGACCAACAGGGCAAGACCAGTCAACAAGTTTCTGCCAGGGCCCTCATCCCACATAGGATGACACTGAGTGCAAACAGTGGAGGAGCTGGAGCATGCTCCAAACCCAGGTGGAAGGAGGCTGAGCAGCTCTTAGGAGGAGCGAGGCTGGCTGGAGATGGCAGGCGGCTGGGGGACAGGCTTTTGTTTGCAAAGGCAACGGCGCAATGAGGGCCTGGCTGGGCAGCTGCTGGAATGCTCCCCATGCAGCACAGTGTGCCGCCTGGTATTTTATGGCTCTGGTTTGAATTCACAGCTGTTTTTATAATGTTGTAAAAGAAGCTGCAAATCAAAACCATGTTAGTCTTCATTCTGAGAGCCTTTGAAAGCAACTTCAAAGAGAACAGAGCTCTTATTGTGCCTAGCAGGATGGGACTGTGGCAAGGAGCTTTCATGATTCCCTGTCCTTTGCCAGGACAGGATGTGGGGTCTTGGAGAAAAGGGTGCAGTCACAGGGATGGAGAGGCTCTGACCCAGGCAGGTTGCAGCACTAGGGGCTAGTGCTCCTGTCTTCCCAGTGCTTAATTTCCTTCCCCTTCTGCTGGCCCTGCCAGCTCCTGTCGTGGTGGATTGAAGTCTGGCTAGTGTGCCCTGCTCTTTGTCCTTCTCCGTGAGCTGCTCCTTCCTCCAGCCAGCTGTGAGCAAGCTCACCAGCTCCCTTGTTCCCTTTTGTGGGGTGCTCACGTGTCCTCCGTATGAGCTGTTTCTGGTGAGACAAAACGCTCTT